TTACATTTTTGAACGAATTACAAAATTGCTATTTTGAAATTTGGCCATATGGCGCAGCAATAGGAGGTCTTTAGACCGAGCCAACCATATATGTGAAGTAAAATTTTTAAAAATTAAATTAAAAATAACTTGTGTAATTGCAATTTTCTCTGTTCATTTCTAATTAATTGAATTAATTATTTCATTTCCATTCATTTAAAATGGAAGAAGAGCCTTCAGTCACTATAATAAGAGAGTCTTCTGCTGCTCATATTTTGAAGAAAAACAAAGTAAAAGGTGGTTCTAAGAAGTCAGGTCGGATGATCCTTGTGGATAAAAATAGATTTCCTAAATACTTTTATGTGCGAGAGGTTATTTTGTCAAGCTGGAAATACAATAACCTTAAAAGAACAAAACTTAATCCACTTTTATTTGAAAAGATTTTGTTTTTTTGAAAAAAAAATATTGATAATTTTGATAGAATGTAAAATGATTAATAAATTTAAAAATTTATTGTTAAAAATCATACATGCATCCCAAAGTGTTTTGCTGATGTCAAAAGTCTAAATTATTACAATGTCAAAAGTGCAAAAGTCAAAAGTACATTATTAAAAACATAATTATAACACCCTTTATGCATATTAACAATGAACATTCAAATAATAAATGAACAATTATTCATTGAATAGCTAATTTAATATGATCAAATGAATATCTGAATGATTATTCGGATATTAAAGTTGATTGATTGAATGAATATTAATGTAGAATGAATGAATATTCAGTAAGTACAACTTCACGTTATTTTGCATTTCTAAACTGGTTTTTAATATGTCAACTCTAATTTTAATAATTTAAGTCATTAACCATATTTATTCATAATTACAGTTTCAACGAATTAACAACGAATTTTTGCCTCACGTGACAAATAATTTTTATTTTTATTGTATTATTATTAAATTGGAATGTGTTTTAGTTAATTAAAATTAGTTAAATAATAAACAAGATTTTGTTCTTCCTTAAATGAGAAACTGAGAAACTGAGAAATAAATAAAATTAACAATTTGATGATAGGTCAATATCCCTTTGTACTCGCGGTATTTCACGGTACTCGCTGTACCCGGATATTTTCTATTATAATTATCATTATTTTATGAGTACAAACACCATCTGAGAATAACATCTAATCTTAAATTCACATTGTAATGAATTTTTAAGAATTTCATTTCACACATAAATTCATCGAATCACGATTAGTTAATTCCTATAACAGATTTTAAATGTCACTTCACAGATAGACATATATAATTAATAAACACAAATGTGGTTCAAAATAATATTTTTTATTGGGTGAAATGCAAATCAAAAAGTGTCATGATCCCTTTCTAAAATATTAATTATTTCTTTTTGTGTATGTGCCCCATTTAGAGAAAATTGTGTCATACGATAAATGTTTGATTCCTTAAATATTATTAAGAGTGTGTATACGCAGTGATGTGCATCGGAATCGGAAGTTCTAATGGAAGGTTTGGAGATCACAGCCCTTCCAATAGTTTATGCGCATTGGAATTGCATTCCAGCTAATAAAATTCAAGAATTAAAGAAAACCTTGGCATTTAATCAACGCTCCAAGTAATAATCATATGAAATATAGGGTCTTCTGGAGCAATAATTCATGACACGGGGCATAATAATAATTCGTGATTCAAAGCATAATTCATGATACAAGACATATAGTTTGTGATGCGAAGCATAATTTGTTAGTTCTTATTATTATAATAAAGGAAGACCCTAATTGTAATCAGCAAGAATTATGTATTTTATCCTATAGTAATAATCATTAAATATAATTAGTATAATTTGATGAAAAATTATGTAAAATTTTTATTAAAAGAATATTATAAATTATTATTGTTACCTAAATCTATTTAAACATAAGATTCAACTTATTGCATTGCATATTGTCTCATTTCCTCCACCATCTACAATTATTATTTCCTTCTACATCTCCTCCACATTCTGATCGTGTACATATACAGTATGTGATAAAGTAGTTTCATTATTCTCATAAATAATATTCAATGGCGCATTCTTCTGACCCCAAACATTCATTTAAAATTGCATAATTGTTATTATAGGGAATATATCAACTAGATTTTTTGATGTTGAATTTTCTACCTATTTTCTAAAATAAATAATTAATAATAAATATGTCGCGTAACAATTACACCACCAGATCTAAAAAAATTGATCAATAATTAGTAGTATATCAATAAATAAAATATGATCACGTAATAATTAGTAGTATATCATAATTAATAATAAATAAAATATGCGTAACAATTCTGTCTGATCGCACACCACCAGATCCAAAAAAGTGATTAATAATTAGTATGTCAATAAATAAAATATGATCGCGTAACAATTCTTTCTAATTGTACACCTCCAGATCTAAAAAAAAAAATGATTAATAATTAGTAGTATATCAATAAATAAAATATGGTCTCGTAACAATTCTTTCTGATCGTACACCGCCAGATCTAAAAAAAAGCGATTAATAATAATAAAATATGGTCACGTGTTAATTCTTTATGATCGTACATAATATTTAGAATTGCTGCCTACTATCTTTCAATCGCATGTTCCGGTGCACCGGCCGGACTTACAGTTAATTAGCTTTGCTCAAATTTAAATCCGCCATTTCGACCCCCGAAATTACTTCATGTATACTTGAAACATAAAAAAAATTATATTATTCAATGCAAAAAATATTTTTATGTATTCGTGTTATTATATTTATTTATTAAAAATAAAAATTTTATATATATAACATTATGAATTGATCACATGATTATGATTTGCAATTTCTCTATAACGGTCTTTTTTTTTTGCCAAAACAGAAGGACCGTTATAGAGAGTGTGTACTGTATTTAATTGTTTATTTTACTATTAAATAAAAATAATATAACTTAAATAAATATTAAATTTTCATTTTCTATTTTAAATTCACATTACATTTTCATTCCTTTAAATTATTTATTTACATAATAATAAGATCATTTTCTTCTTGCAGATCTTGTTGATCGTACCATAATTCAAATTTTTCATTATTACTACTACTACTGGCAATTTTATAGATTGAAATAGCAATTTGAAATTCTAAATCATTTGTTATTTTAACAAAGTTATTAAAGTAATCTTTATACTTTAATTGTTTGATTGTACCTGTAGCAAAATTGTATGATTTTTCTATTAAATTTGTTAGATTGGAAAGTTTGTAGGAATTGGTGATGAGATAGTTTTTGATCTCATCAGTGTTGTTGCAATGTAACTTTATAATTATTTGTTCTTCCTAATCGTTTAGATATTATTATATAAAGGAGAGATTTGTTTAGTCAATTAATCAATCAATTAATCAATCATATAATGGATTAGAATAAGAATAAAAACCAACTTGCATTTTTTTCACTCTTAAATTTTTCCTTATTATTATCATTATCATTGTTATCATTAATACCATTACCATTATTAACATCCTCAACTTCAAGATCATCAAACAGCTTAATTAAATCAACTTCAACATTATTATTTGTAGAAGTATTGTTATTATTGCTACTGTTGTTATTATTGCCATTTTTATTGTTTTTTGGAGTTATGATTTTGAATTTTTGATAACAAAATTTGTCACTGTCACTATTATTATTATAATTATTAAATCCTTTTTTATTTTCATCATAATCATTCATATATTTATTGCCATTACTATTATTATAATTGTGATTATTGTCATCATACTTCTTATTTTTATTAAAATTACTATTATGCTTTTTTTTACTATAATTGTTACTATCTGAAATTTTCCCCCAACCAACTTTCCAACTTGAGTAAGATTTATTTTTTCTAGCTTTTATCATATAATTTATGTGCAATCCTGCTATATCAATTTCTTGTTCTGATACATCTTTATGCATATATAAAGTAATTGATTTTGCACTTTCTTTATGCAATTTTAAAATGTTATATAAAATTTTAGGTTATATTGATTATATTGATTGATATATATATAAATTATCATATTCATATATATATAAACTTACTCATATTTTCAGTAATTACTTTTTTCTTTCCGGCTGTGTACTCTGAATTCCAATTATAATTAATCTACACATTGATATAAATGATAATTAGTAATAATAATATATAGTGATATATGTATTATCTATCTTTATATTATTACTATTAATTATATTATTATTTACCAAACATTTGTCCTCATCATTTAAATATAGACAAATAACTCTATCACTAATTTTTTCAATTCCTTCTAAAGCTTCAATAGGGATAAAAATTTGCCCATTATGCACCAAGTACAAAGTCAATTTATGTTCTAAATATTTATATCGAAATTTTGGTAATCCAACAGATTTATTATTATTATAAGGTTTCTTTACATGATCTAGTTTGTTGGTTTCTTGAAATGAATCAATTTCTAGTAAAACCAAGTGTAATTGAATAATTGGTGATTTTGCCTTCCATGAACGTATATAACTTGCATATGGTTTATGAATTGGCATTTTTGTAATACTAGTATCAGAATCATTATTATTAATTGATGTTGTTGATGATGTTGTTCTTGACCCTGATGTTTCTCTTGATAATGATGATCTTGTTGTTGTTGTTGTTGTTGTTGTGTATGAAAATGAAGATGACCTTTGATTTTAAA